CCCCCCAGCTTTTGCACGTGACCACAGGCTCCTAGTGCCAATTGTGGCCCCCCCCTCCACCAGGCTTCCCCACCAGGCACCCAGCCGGGATTTTTTCTACCGAACAGATGGTGCAAATACTGGACTGTCCAGTAAAAAATCAGACACCTGGCAACCCAAAGGACAGAGAAGCATGACAGTGCTGAGAGGGGCAAATGAAATGCCCCAGCTTTTGCACGTGACCACAGGCTCCTAGTGCCAATTGTGGCCCCCCCCTCCACCAGGCTTCCCCACCAGGCACCCAGCCGGGATTTTTTCTACCGAACAGATGGTGCAAATACTGGACTGTCCAGTAAAAAATCAGACACCTGGCAACCCAAAGGACAGAGAAGCATGACAGTGCTGAGAGGGGCAAATGAAATGTCGGTACTTGACAGCCTCCTGGTCAAACCTGTCAGGATCACCCGTCAAAGGTTCTAAGATCTACTGGTTGGTGACCACTGGCCTAGTGGCTAGATTATTCAATATGTAGGATGGAAAGGGGAGAAGCTGGCCTCCTTTCCCCTCCTTGTTCCTGGCCCAGGGGCTCCAGACTGCTCCTTACCCAAGTCCTTAAGTATGGGGCATAGCCCCAGGAGTCCAGATTTCCCTTAGTTGGTGTTTCTCTTTTGCTGAGAGGGGTGGGGAATATGGACTTACTTGCTCCCATGGCTGCTGGGCTGGCAGGCTCCAGTTCAGTCCCTCAAACCACCGGACCAAGCTCCTGCTTCCTCTCTAGTCAGCCCCAAACTGAATCAGGCTCCTTCCTTTTCCTCCCCCTCCAGACTTGGGGTATATCTAGACTGAAGAGTTTTCCTGGAATACCAGAGGTATCCTGGAAAAACTCTGCCACATCCAGGGAACGCGTTTGCTTTTTCAGAACAGTTTCCGAAAAAGCTGGCGTGTTCTTTCGGCGTCCCTGTATTCCTCATTTTATGAGGAATAAGGGATCTTCTGAAAGAGGAGGTTTTTCCACATTTGGCCCCATGTAGACAGGCCAAATGTTGGAAAAGCCTCTTCTGAAAAAACAAGAGGAAAAAGGTATGCAAATTGCAGTTCTCAATTTGCATATCTTTTTCCGGAAAACAAATGCAGTGTAGGCATAGCTTTGGTATTGACTGTAGGTAAAGCAGGGCAGGGCTATCTGGGCCCAGAGGCTTTGTTTAATGCTTGAGGTGCTGGGCCATCTTTTCTTCACTCCTTCACACATCTCAAAAGCACAAGGTCTGTACCTGGGTAGTCTGGTCCGGGAAGAGCCTGAGTGCATAGTTTAAATGTTAACTTCATCAGAGCACATCAGGATAGTGTAATAGGGAAAAGAAAGAAAACACAGAATTAGCTTGATGTGATAAGAAGAATTCAAACTCATTGACAGGGATTTCACCCTGGCTACATATGGTCATCTTGTGGTGTCTGTCTATGTATAGCCCTTATTAAGCAAACTCATTAGTTGTTTTAAAAACAACACCCTATTACAGACACATTCAGTGGGATTATTATTAATTTACTTATTCTAATTTATTCTGAATCCTAAAGATTAATTTGGTTAAAATAAATATGTTACCTGCCTGAGGCCTGTAGATCCTTTGTTACAACCTTAATTAATATTTATATTTTACATCTCTATTCTGATACCCGTTATCCTTGACTATACCTTCAAATTATATAAATTGGATATTGCAAAAACAGGAACAGTATTCCAAAATTCTACTCTGTTTCTGCCACTAGCTCACTGTGGGCTTGCCTGCACTACAGAGAAGATCAATACTACCACAGTCAATTTTCAAGGGTTCAAAATTAGTGGATCTAATGAAGATATGCTAATTTGAACTGAGAGGGTGCTCCCGTCAGCACCAGTGGTCCTGCTCCTCACGAGGATTAAGGGAAGTCGACGGGAGCCTGTGCTCGCATCGACCTTCCGCTGCCAAATGTGCCAAAATGTGATTTAAGGTTCTTCATGGTTGCTCCCATCCCCTGCACAATCCCATTGGCTGATTTCTGGCTGATAGAAGCTGCCTGTTTGGGAAATAGGCAGCACGTGAAGCACTCTTCCCCCTTCTCTCAAGCTCTTATTCACAGGGCACATGGCCCTGCAGCCTGTGCAGGGGTGAGACAGGCTTCTGCCTGACAAATGTGCTGGGCTGCTGGCCAGAAGTCTCACAGGTAAGTCTCCCAGCCAAGCCTGCTTCTGGCACCCTAGCCCCTCCTTCCTCTGTAGCTTCACTCCTACCCCCTTTTCCCACATAAGCCAAATCCTCTGCTCCCCTCCTGAGCCCAAACACCCTCCCAGACCCTGCACCCCAATCCCCTGTCCCAGATCACAATCCCCTCCTGCTATAGATCATAGCCCAAACCCTGGTACCCTTTCTGCACCCCAATCTCTTGCCCTATGTCACAACTCAAGCTCCTGCACCCCAATCCTATGTCCCAGGTCACAATTGCTTCCTTCACCCAAACTCCCTCCCAGACCTCATGGGCCCTCCTGCACCTGAATCTCTTACCAGAGGGATGGGCAAGATACTTGGCCCTGCCCTTTCCAGGGTGTCCAATGACCACTTCAGAAATTTGTGAAGTGCTCCCCTTCAAAAATTATTGCCCACCCATGGCCTATGTAGTAATAATGTCCCATGTTGGCCTTATAATCTAAAGACTGAATACTCCATGGACAAACCAGTGCAAAGACTGATTTAGAAGGGAGAATTTGGCAACATATACTTTTTGTTTTCACATCACAAAAACTGGGGGAAAATAATACCTATTTCAGAGGGATATTCTGGGCCTTCACTTAGAAAGTTTGTAAAAAACTTTGAAAATTACAAATAAAAGGAGTATATACATGCCCAGTGCTCTTCTCATCTCTTCCCTCTTCTGTGGCTAGTTGAGGAATAGTCACTCAGAAAATCATCTTATCACAAGTGAAGGAGTAAAAATGGTATCTCATGTGTTATGTACAAACAAGTATTAATTTTATTTTTCTTTTCCCTCTCCAGAATGATTACAAAAAACTGTCTATACAATGCAAGGATTTTGTAGTTGGGCTTCTTGATTTATGCAGAAATACTGAAGAAGTGGAAGCTATTTTGAATGGAGATGTGGAGACGAGACATAATAGTGGAGAGCTTGGTCGGCCTAGCCTTAGTCGTTTAAAACTTGCCATTAAGTATGAAGTCAAAAAAGTAAGCCTTGATATTAATAAAATAGTAGCTTAAATTAGTGGCAATCTCATTAACTCATACTACCATTCATGATTTGTATTACGGCAGCACCCAGATACTCTGAACAGGAGCTGGGTCCCATTGTACTAGATGCTGTGCACTCATAGTGTAAAAGAGAGTCCCTTCCCCAAAGTACTTACTCCCTTAATAAAAAAATCAGAGGTAAAGATGTATGCAGCACACAAGGAGGTAACAGTTAGAGCAATGTATGGTTACTTGAAGTAATTGTATACAGTATTTGCTAGTTTTGCATTTATTTATTTAACTGATGAGAGATTATTAATCCATCTTCTAAAACAAAATCATTGGACATAGTGAATTAAAATGTACAATGCAGTATAGTGGCCCTCTAATAATATAAAGACATGTTTTTGTTGAACTTTAATGCCCTGTTCACAGCAGATTTGCATCCTGAGACATGCCAATTTTGATTTGCTCCTGTTGAAATTGAACAGGTGATTGTCTAAAATGAAATTTCCCTTAATTTGAAAAATGAATTGGAATTTTCTTAAAGTTGTAACTACCTATACATAATCTAATTTGATTTTTGGACCAGTAGCCAAATTTCCTGCCATTAATAGCAGTGTGCCTGGATTCTAAAGAAATTATGCTTAACAAAAAAGCAGACTGCCTCCTTATTGTACTGTACACTCTGATGGTGATCTGAATGTTTACTGAGTTGTTATTTTGCATTCTACAGTCATTTCAGATGACTAACATTTTGTTTGTTAACATTTTGTTTAATGTTTTGTGGTGTTCCTTTTCTTTGTCATAGTTCGTAGCACATCCAAACTGCCAGCAACAACTTCTCTCAATCTGGTATGAGAATCTCTCAGGTTTACGTCAGCAGACTATGGCAGTGAAGTTTCTAGTTGTTCTTGCAGTTGCAGTAGGGCTGCCATTCCTGTCAGTGGTTTACTGGATTGCTCCATGCAGCAAGGTTAGTCTGTATAGTCTTGTTAGAGCATCTGCATGCAAGTCTCTAATTTGGCAAAGATGAAACCTATGTATAAATTACTGATGCCCTTAGCAAAGCTTCAGTGGAATGTCATTTAATGACAGATTGTAATGGAATAGCTTCAGGAATACACACTCAGACATTCACAATAAAAACAAGTAAATGCATCATGTGGAAAGTAATGAATACTAAATGCAAAAAAAAAATATGATCAGGGAGAGAAGGAATTATTGCCATGTAGAGACAATAATACAGGAATAACGAATCAAAGTACTCTCCATTTTGTTGCTATGTGGTTAAATAAACATATAGTAGCTAAATGATTTAACAAAAGCTAATTAATACATTTATGGGGATTGAGGAAAGAACATTGCAAAGAAATTAAATACTCATTTAGTGAGAAATTGCCCATCAGAGTATTGAGAGAGCAATAGGAAGCACTGCAATTAGCAGGTTTTCTTCCTCCTCCCTAGTGATATCCAAGTTGTTAGCCATCTACAAATGGGAAAATGTTTATTTTTCATAGAAAAATTTGTAGCCCTGATCCTGAGAGATACTGTGGGCCTTCAGACAGAAGGGTAAACTAAGCTGATGCTGAAGACAGATACTATTCAAAATAAAATAAAGATAGGAAAAAATCATAAATGCATGTCTAAATAAAATAAGCTTCTTAAATTCACACCAAGTGAACACAACCATCAAATTGAGAATTAAGACCACTTAGCTAGCTATCCATCTTATGATTTCACATAGGATAAAATGTCACCTTTATTTATATTTACTGCCCACAAACCACCAATACAAAATTGTCCAACTAACTGCTCAACATAGATTTGCAAGTGTCTAAAATTAATGATTCCATGTGTGCCATCGAAGTAGTGTGGTGTAAATACGTTGAAGTGAATTAAACTATTTTTGGCACACTGGTGTAACTGAACTGAATTTAGCATGATACGTTTTGAATGGATTTGAGGTTTGTATAAGAAAGTTATATGCAAGGGATGAAATCATGGCTCCATTGGCATCAACTAGGTCAGGATTTTACCCCACAGTAAGGGCCTTCTCCAGGACCTTATCATGAAAAGATCCCTGGGATGAGCTGATGAAAGACCTTAGAAAATTCAAACTGCTTTTTAACACTGATACAAATACATTCTGTTGTTACTAAGAAACCTTTTCTTAAATGACCATCTGATTTCATCTCTCATTGCCAGGGCCGGCCCACAACATTTTGGCACCTGGGGCGGGGAGCTCAAATGATTCCCCCATGCCTCCTTGCTTGGGCCAAAACTTTGAAAGGTCTCAATTCTCTGGGTCCTAGTGGCACCCTCCCACATTCGGGCATCTGAGGCAGCTGCCTCAGTTCGCCTCATGGTAAGGCCAGTCCTGCTCACTGCTACTACCTATGGGCTTGTCAAGATAATTTTTAGGCTCATTTCATTTCATGAGTTTTTTCAAAGCAGCCACATGGTCTTTTCTGTGTGCATTTACAAAACACTGTTATTTCAATGTGGCTTCTAGAGCTGAATGCCAGTTTCATGTTGCAGAATCTATATCCAATATAGATATGCCCAAAATCTCCCATAGAATCATCCATAGAATTTTGCATTTGTTTGGAATATCTATCTGGGCACCGATTCAAAGTTTCCTCCCTAAAGCATTTACTTTCCCTGTTGTCATAAGAGGTAAAAGAGATACTATAAAATTAAAATTATACACTGTAAATAAATGAATGTATTATGATTATCAACTTAGATTTTTAAAAGTATATCTAGTCTCCTTAGATTTATTTATTTATTTCCTTTATTCTCAGCCTGAAATATAAAAATCAATTCAGTCAGTTCCTTTTTTTTATAGTCTCTACTGATTTTAAAACTTCTTTTGTCTTTAAGCATGTCTTCACTTTCATAGTGCTTCAGCATTTGGGTTTCCAACATTGCAGGGAAGTGTCTATGTGTTTGTTGATTTTGTTGTTAAGACCTTTTTACTGGATTGTAAAATCATTTTGATTGGTCTTTCATTTTAGAAAATATATTTCTCCATTGCATTTTTGTCCAGTTTCAATCCACAGCACCCCTTTAAAACTTACCTTCCTCTTCTGTTTTGTAGCTGACTCCCCTTCTGATATAACTGTTTAAAGATTTTCTTACATTTAACGCTGTTAATTGGCAAGTTGGCTCTCTCTTTTCTGTTACATTTGTTGCTGTACTTCTTTTTTATTTTAGATACATGCCTCTTAGTTTTTAAATGCTAAAATGAAAATTACTTCATTTGAGACCAAGTTGGAGATTTCCTCTCCTACCAGGGGATTTACCCTTGAAAATTAAACATATCAGAGCAATTCCAGGGGATTCTGAGCGAATACTGTTCTTCTGACAGACCAATCTATGGATGGGGTGATGGAATTTAACACAACTTTTGTCCTCAACTATCTATGAAGTGACCTCTAAGACATAATTTTTTGTTGCTTTTATCTCATGAATTATCTCACCTTGGTTTATAGATGTCCCATAATAGCTGAAGAGAGAAAGAAAATGACCATAGCCTCTCAGGTGAAAATTCCTGCTTGAATCTGATTAATTGTGACAGGGGAATTTTTGAAATTTTTATTCCATGTCTGTGAGAGAGGCAAGGGAGTAGTTTCTTCAATCAGTTGATCCATTTCAGGGGGGGAGATGCTTTAATTAATTAGAATCACCTCCACTCAGTTGTTGAATTGAATACGTTCTGTTGTAAGGACATTTTTCTATGTTGCTTATAAATCACAACTTCATACCTCCATCTCAACTAATCCAGATGGAGTGGCCATTTACATTTCTCAGTGTCTATATACTTTTTATGAGGCTACAATTGGAATCCATCCATGGAATGCAGCTGGTGCAGATTTTGGCAGCTTGCTTTTAAATGGTATGTCCTTTTGTGAGCATATTGAACTAGTGCACTCTGATCTCCACTGGCTGTTTGTTGGTTTCCATGTTGATTTTTAACATTCTTTTTTTTTTCCCATGAAACTCTCTGACACCTACTTATGACAGTGGCAGTCTCTCTCCCTGTGACATAAGTCCCACAGCTGCAGTCAGGAGAGGCATAAAAGAAGTTCTATGGCATAGGAAAGGAAGGCTGGCCCATAGGTAGAGTATTGACCAAGTTAGAGAAATAGAGGTTCACATCTCTGCTTTCCTTAAACTTCCTGTCAAATAGTGGCAAGTCACTTAGGCCCAGATTTATAAAAAATATTTAGGAGTTGTAATACTCAGCATTGCAATGTATAACTAATTTAGGAACCTAAACCTAATTTTCAAAAGGCATTTAGACACTACAGAATCAAAATTTTATTGTCAATAGATGGGGTTTAGGCTCCAAAGTGCCTAACTCCCTTTGAGAATAGGATTTAGACTACTAAATCAGTTAGGAAATGCAATGATGAGTGAAGCAGTGCCAAAATAACTTTAAAAATCTGGGCTTTGTCCTTTCTGAACCTCAGTTTCCCATTTCTAAAATAGGGATAAATAGAACTTCCTTACCTCATGAAAAAGATTTTGAGGCATTTTTCTTAGGTTTCTTATTGTGGCAAAGGCTAGGACTTTAACAGGGTTCAAAAAAGAGCTAGATAGATTTATGGAAGTTAAGTCCATCAATGGCTATTAGGATGGGTAGGAATGGTGTCCCTAGCCTCTGTTTCTCTTGAGGTGGGTAACAGGGGAGGGATCACGTGATGATTACCTGTTGTGTTCTCTCTCTCTGGGGCATCTGGTATTGGCCATTGTCAGCATGACAGGATACTGGGCTAGATGAACTGTTGGTCTGACCCAATATGGCCTTTCTTATGTTCTTATTGTGGCATTCAGATACTTCAGTAATGAAAGCCACATAAGTACTTTAAATGTTTGGGAAATTCTTTGTTAGGGCCCAGTACCATTAAAACCCATTTCTCCATCTAGTCTGTATGTAACAACCTGAATTTGATAACCTTCTGATCACACTTGGCTGTAAGGAACTCAGGGCTATCTCATGTTGGAAATTCTGGTGCTGACTTTGTTAGTGGTTTATTATATGGTTTTGTTCATACTATTTCTCAGGTTTTGCCATCCATGAGTAAATGTGTGTCTAATAATGTATTAATTGTATTTTCAAAAGTTTGTCAAGGGCTTGGGATAGGTGCTCTTTTTTGTAGTTAGAAGAAATGTAAGTCAGTAAATAAGTGGTGGTCTATTGACTATGGCATCTTTGGAAAAAAATGTTACTTACTGATGAGCAGTTGAAAGTCCTTTCTGCTTTCTGATATATTACTGGTTCCTGTGTTATTTTTTATATTAAAAAAGAGACCTAGCAAAAATATCTCCATAACCAAATTGTACCTTGCAAGTGTGCCCACCCTGTCTGTATTTCTTGTGCTCAGATGATCTGATTTTACTAGATTACCAAAACCGCTGAGAGTTATGGAAGTTCCCACCTATCTTGTGCTGGAGGCATGGGAATACTTCTCCTTACATATGGGCTACATCTAGACTACATCCCTATATTGGCAGAGGGATGTAAATGAAGCACTTTGAAAGTGCAAATGAAGCTGGGATTTAAATATCCCATGCTTCATTTGCATAATCACATAATGGCGCTCTTTTGAAAAAGCCCTTTTTGAAATTGAAACTGCAGTCTAAATGAGGTTCTTTTGAAAACAGGGTGCTTTTTTTAAAGAGCCTGTAAACTTCAAATAAACCTCAAGCGCCCCGTTTTCAAAAGAACCATGTCTAGACTGCAGTTTCAATTTCGAAATAGCACTTTTTCAAAAGAGTGCCATTACGTGATTATGCAAATGAAGCATGGGATATTTAAATCCCAGCTTCATTTGCACTTTCAAAGTGCTTCATTTACATCCCTCTGCCAGCAGAAGGCTGTAGTCTAGACACACCCATGGAGTCAGTACAGAACAGCAATCAGAGCTAGATGTTAAGCTCTTTGGGGATAGGGACAATGAGTTTTGATGTGTTTGGTACCAGAAGGCACTGTTGTAATAAAAATGCATGATGATGTTAGTGATTTGGTTCAAAATGTTTATATATGACTTCTAGAATTTTGTACTAAAAGCTTTATAGTTTCTTCCCTTATAAACATAGATTTTTCTCCTGTCATGCTTAATGTCATGCAGCCATTATGAGACTGGATTCTTTTTGCGTTGTTTTATCCTTGGATTCAGTGCAATGAATATACATCCGAGAGACTAGAGAAATCAGCATTCCATTGCTGGCTCTGATAATAATAGACTCGTAAAAGTATAGAACTGGGAGGGACCTTAATAGGCTATCTAGTACAATTCCCTGCACTCAAGGCAAGACTAACAACTAGGCCATTCCCGATAAGAGTTTGTCTAACATGTTCTTGAAAATCTTCAGTGATGGAAATTTGGCAATTTTTTTTCATTACTTAACTACCCTAAAAGGATTTTTTTCCAAATGCCCTTGCTACATTTAAGCTCATTGCTTCTTGTCATTTAGTCAGAGGTTAAGAACAATTTTTCACCCTCCTTGTAACACAGATTCATAGCCTTTAAGGTCAGAATGGACCATTATGATCATCATTCTAGTCTAAGCTCCTGCACATTACAATCCACAGAACATCACCCACCCCCTCTTGTAATAGACCCCTAACCTCTGACTGAGTTACTGAAATCTTCAAATCATGACTGAAAGACTTCAAGTTACAAAAAAATTAACCATTTATATTAGTTTAAACCCATTCCCCATGTTGCAGAGGACAGTGAACCCCCCTCGCTCCAAGGTCTCTGATAATTTGACCCAGAGAGAAATTCCTTCCTGACCCCAAATATGGTGATCAGACTGTGACCATGTGAGCAAGACCCAATCTTTTATGTACTTGAAAAATGTTTATGTTCCCATCTCAAGTTTTCTCTTCACCGAACAAAACATGTTTTTCAATCTTTCCTCATAGGTCCTGTTTCCTAGACCTTTGATAATTTTTATTGTTTTCCCCTGGACTTTTCTCAATTTGTTCTCATCTTTCCTGAAATAAGACATCCTGAACTGGACACAAGATTTCAGCTGAGACCTTACCAGTGCAGAGTAGAGCAGAAGTAGTGTTTCTCCAGTCTTGCAACATTTTTGCTGATACATCCCAGAATTATGTTTGCTTTTTTTTGCAAGTGTTACACTGTTAACTCATATTTAGCTTGTGACCGGATCCCCTTCTAAAGTACACCTTTCTAGGCAGTCATTTTTAATTTTGTATGTGTGCATCTGATTGTTTCTTTCTATAATGAGAATTGTATGTCCAGCTCTCTGAATGTTAAAATATGATTCTTACATTTCACTATATTTAAGTGCATCTGTCAATTCTATATCATAAGTAAATATCATTTGCTTACTATAATGTTTATTCAGCAACAATTTTCCTGCCATTTCCATACAGTCACATAGTAACAATCCTTAGACCGTACTTACTAAAATGTGGATTTTTTTTTCATTTACACAAGTGCAGATTCATTCACTCTCTTGGCATCAGCAAAACTGAGAGAAGATTTTAACACTATCTTTGTAGGATAGTATTTTATTTCATGAAGTTTTGTATGAATCAAATTCTACCCTCTATTACATCCAAGCAACTCTAGGGTTGCACAGATGTAACTAAGGACAGAGTTTGGCTTTTTAAGACTAAGTAATTGAGTCAGTCCGATGAATTACTGGAAAAATAATGGGGATCTGAATTTGAAGACAATATTGGCTCCTCGCTCCCAGGTCACTATGGGCTGAGAGTTCTATAGAGGAAATATTCTCAGTCCCTGGGGGGAGGATATGCTTCCTGAAGCAGTGATATTACAGGTATATACGGTCCTCCTCTGAAACATGGGCTTTCCATGTGTCAAAGAAAGTGCATGTGAAAATGATGGCATGCCTAGATCTGTAAGTTTGGAGGGATCCCCCTAAAAAGCATCTCCACAACCTCTTTGCAACCAACTTTTTCATTCCTTTCTCACCATTGGAAAGTGTTAATTTCCTTTTTTTATATTAATGTCATCTACCAAGATTTATGGCCCAATTTATGTGATACTGCAGGCTCACAACTTTATTAAATCCAGTGCATATTAAGTGCAGAAAGCTCTAGTATCAAACCCTGTCTTTCTGTTGAACCATTCTGTCCATAATTAATATTTTCTTTTCTGTCTCTTCTTCATAGGTAGAATCAAAGTTAGAAAATTTTTATTTCTAAATCATCCCTGGTCACGTCTAAAATATAAGTATCAAAAATAACTCTCACACTATTTGTAACATATTTTATCTCCAGTGAGCTTTTAATTACATTTAGTAAAGATTTTTCTGTGTTTTGGGGGTTGGGGACTTTCTCAATCTTTTAGATTTTTTTTTAAATTGCTTGAACAACTATTCCGGCATTAACCTGATTTCCTTAAATATTTCTGCTTCTTCCCTGAGCATGTCTCTTTCTGGCATCTGTGTCCCAGTCCCATCCTCGTTTGTGAACACAGGCAGATAATACATTTTAAAAGACACTGTCAAGGTATTTTGTTTATCATTCTCAGAATCTGTTTTACTCACTATTGTTTATAACACATCTAGGGGAAGTTTGAATATGAAACCTGTAACAAGTATCCTTTCACTTTGCACTGCATACAGAATGATCTGTTGTTATAGGGCACCTCTTGAGGCTGAGAGAATTGAATATTTTTAGGAAAAGGACAAAGAAATTGTTTAGTGGGGAGGATTGGAAATGCATAATGAATTGCATGGATTGGCAAAAGGCAATGTAGAAAAGTCAAAAGGTCAAATTTTGAGCCAACTAACCTTGACAGTGTTCCTTTAATAATATTTTTACATATGACTATTTTTTTTCAATAAGTTATCTGTGTTTATTACCCCTACGACTGTATCTTTCACTGACTTCTTATTCCTTGTTTACTTAAACTTCAGTTTGGTGTTAGCTGAAGTTTGACTTTGACCTTTTAAAAATCATTCTAAATAATAACTATTTATCGTAACTAATGCTTGCTTCCTCTCCTTACCTTTTTCAGTGGCCACCAAGATTAACTGTTTCTTATGAACCCTTGAGACTTGCTTTGAATTTTTCATCTATTTTAATACATGCAGTAGCTGCCATTACCCAAAATAACATGTAGGCATTTTGTGCCCAGCTTGCAACCAAATTAATTCATTAGGACTGATGAAAAGAATTTAAGAAATTGCCAATCCCTTTAAAATAGATATTTTGGTAGCCTAGATTGGTGTAGGCTTACGTGACTTTTCAGTTTTGCTTAGTGTCATGCTTAACCTATCCATTAGAGCTTATGCTCTAATAAATCTGTAAGGGTTCATCTATACTGCAGGGCTTAATTTGAAATAAACTACACAAATTGAGCTACATCAATTGTGTATTTTATTTCAAAATAGCTTATTTCAAAATATAGCACTCTTCCTCTGACTTCCCTTATTCTTTGTACAATGAGGGTTACAGCAGTTGGAGTAAGAAGTCCTTCAGCTTGACAGTATTTCAACATTATTTTGAAATAACTGCCTGCTGTGTAGACACGGATTAAGTTATTTCGGAATAGCATTAGTTATTTCAAAATAGCATTGCAGTGTAGACATATCCAAAGTCAGTAAGGTGCCACAAGACTCCTTGTTGTTTTTGCAGCTACGACTTATACAGCTCCCCTTCTAGTCTATTCAAGGTTTAGTCATCTCTCTTGGTGGGTGTTTAAGGAAATTTCTATTAAGAGAATCAAGAAAGAATGTAAGAAGCTATAGAAGTGTATACACAACTTTTTGTGGCCCATTAAAATGTTAAAAACCAAAAAGCAAGACAGGTCAGAAAAACTGCTCTTGCTAACCTGAACCTTCCTGCTAAGCTGAATACTATATCAAATCCAAAACTGGTGTCCATTTTTGCAAGGTAATTATGGTATCTCGTTATGACATCACAGAGTGTATATATTTTCATTGTAATTATTTACTGTGCTTTTGACATAAATGTATTTTAAAAAGTTGATTGAATGTTTTGTTTTGTGTTGCAGCTGGGGAGAATAATGCGTGGTCCATTTATGAAGTTTGTAGCACATGCAGCCTCTTTCACCATTTTTCTTGGTCTGCTAGTCATGAATGCATCTGACAGATTTGAAGGCACCAAACTCCTACCTAATGAAACATACAAAACAGCTGATCATAAAAAACAGCTGTTTAGAATGAAAACGTCCTGTTTCTCATGGATGGAGATGCTAATTATCTCTTGGGTAATAGGTAAAAAATATTTTTCTCTTAGAAGTCTGTCATGCAGTGTTGTCATTAGAGCTGAATTCCAGTTATACACATTATTTCAAGTCTCACATAGAAAAAGTGCACAGCTCAAGAGGAACATATCATGTCTTCCATTTTCTTTGCTGTCAAACCCTCTATAGGATACATATAATTAATTCCATATTCCTATACCATCAAATGATCTTACCATATTAAGGACCTGATTTTTCATCCACTTCTGCCTCTATATTGAGTAATAATTCTGCAGACAATCCCATTGAAATGAATAGGACTTCTTGTGAAATAAGCTACCGTTCAATCTAAGAGGAGTAGAAATCTAGCCTCCTAAATATTAAAGGGCAAATTCTGCCATCATCACATATGTTGAAAAGCACTTTGAATGACCCATTGAGTTCAAGGGAGTAAAATATTAGTCAGTGTGAGTAAGGATGCCAGGACTCATCAAAGTCAATAATAAAAGAAACTTGAAGTCAAGCTACATAGTTCAGTGATCCTGCAATTTTTATTCAAGCAAATTCCTACTGAAATCACTGTAAGTTTGAGTGTTGCCTAAGAAGGATTATACTGAGGTCATATTCTGCTCTACATTTGCATGGGGAATTCCTTACTGGCATTGGTATAGATACCAATCATATTTTTTTAAGATACCAGGGAATAACATGCATTTTGGTAACTTATAAAATGTGTCTTGTTACCAAAAGTCACACTTGACAGACTTTTTACTGTTCCCCTGCATGTATATATGTGTGATGCTGAAGCCCACGACTTGCAAAGGAGGTGGTGCATCAGCTGAATGCCTTTGCCTACAATACCCTTTCACGCTTCTGGAGGCATTATGCCTGAATCAGACATATGCCTCCCAGGATATGCAGATTCATACATCACACACAATGCAGAGCTGTGTTTAAATATTCAAGCCCTAGGTTTTGAAGTATGCCAAGCATTCAGTGTAAAGCATAATGAACTAATACTTCTTTCCCCTAAAGATGTGTCAGGGTAATGCATAAATAAGATGTAACTTACAATGGCTCTCTTTCAAGTCCCAAGTGTTTAGAGTGATCTCTTACAGGTTTAGCCTAAATCCCATTGAACTGACTTTCTTTTAAAGCCCCTATCCTTAACTGAAGTTGTGTGACTAATAAATCTTTTTCCATTAGAGAATTTGGAAGCATTTTATTGCTTTTCTGTGAATGAAATCAAGGAAAGTCATTTCTATAGTCTTAAAAAGCACTAACAGCCTCTCTGCTTTATCATATTTAACCAAAAAATGAATATACGAATATAGCATATAACTCATATAGCTCTTATATTTCAAACATTATATAAACATAATTCATCTGATAATAAATGAATAAATATAAACTATTCAGTCTAAGAACTTAATAAAGCTATATATTGTAATCTGATTTAGGAGCAAAATGACATGATTGTATAATAAATACATCATTTTGGTAACTAAAATATAATACATGTAAATGTTAATCAAAAATGAGTTACTGGCAAGGTGTTATTTGAAAGTCACATATATTTATGGTGTCAAGTATCAGAGGGGTAGCCGTGTTATTCTGAATCTGCAAAAGTGGCGAGGAGTCCTGTGGCACCTTATAGACTAACTGAAGTGTTGGAGCATAAGCTTTCGTGGGCAAAGACCCACTTCGTCAGATGCAAGTAGTGGAAATTCCCAGAGGCAGGTATAAATATGCAGGCCAGAATCAGGCTGGAGATGACAAGGTGGATCCAATCAGGGAGGATGAGGCCCACTTCTAGTAGCTGATCTGGAGGTGTGAATTCCAAGAGACGAGAAGCTGCTTTTGTAGTTAGCTAGCCATTCACAGTCTGTTTAATCCAGAGTTGATTGTGTCAAACTTGAATATGAATTGAGCTACTTGAAGATGAACTGAGCTACACATGATGAGCAGCCCTACACAATCTGTGGAAATTCCAGCAGAGTTAGAGCAGCCAAATACAGTCTATGGGGAGCTCAGGCAGAGTTAGAGCACCACAACACAGTTTGTAGTGGTTCTGTCAAAGGCTTAATAGCATCCAAAAACAGTCTATGAGGGGGTTGGGTCAGGCAGGTTTAGAGCCTAGTGTCCTCACTTAGGGTGCATCTACACTGCAGGGCTTAACTCAAAATAAGCAACGCAAATTGAGCTATGTCAATTGCATAGCTTATTTTGAAAGAGCTTATTTCAAAATTGGGAGTGTCTACACAGCTCTTATTTTGAAATAGAGCACTCGTCCTCCGACTTCCCTTAGTCCTCATACAATGAGCGTTACAGAAGTCGGAATAAGAAGTCCTCCAGCTTGCCATTTTTCAACATTATTTCAAAATAACTGCCTGCTGTGAATCGGCGGACTAAGTTATTTCAAAATAACACTTGTTATTTTGAAGTAAAGTTGCTGTGTAGAAGTACCCCTAGTGGGCTGTAAGCAGAAGCAGGCCCTCTGGCCTGTGGAGGGAGAGTACTTAGGTCCATAGGAGTTCCTCTGGGTCATCTAGGTAGCATGCCAGAGGCAGTTCCAGAAACTTCTCTGAGACTTGGTCTGTGGGTGTCAATCTCTAAGTGTGTCCATGCTACAATATTGTATTTTAAACAGTGGTAGAAATGTAGCCGTGTTAGTCTGGTGTAGCTGAAACAAAATACAGGTCTATGTAGCACTTTAAAGACTAACAAGATGGTTTATTAGATGATGAGCTTTCGTGGGCCAGACCCACTTCCTCAGATCAAATAATGGAAGAAAATAGTCACAACCATATATACCAAAGGATACAAGAAAATTCTCCCATCACCCTAGCTACCATCTCTTGAGAGAGGTGTAATACCTACATCAAAAGTAAAGCCCCTCCCATCAGCAAACAGTGTCTTCACAACAGCCTTTTAAGTGTACACAACCCCTCAAGTGACATTAAAAAGGAGCACAGTCACTCCAGGACATACAAGAGGCTGCTGTAATGAAGTCTAATCTGACTTCAGTAGCTATTTGCAATCAAATGTGTCTGCTAGTTAATAATTTGCACAACTGCAAACATTAGAAACAAGTTATACATTGAAGTGAATAATTTTCAATATTAAACAGTTACTCTGGGTGAGGTTTTAATTGACACTAACTGAAAAATAATGAAAAGATCATACACACAATTTCATATAATTTGCTAGCTCTAGTAAGTCACTGGTAAAATGATTGTACCACATGTTATTATCAACTCTCCAGAAACCTACAATAACAAAGTGTATTTTCTTCTTACCTTTAAAATAATAAGGCAATGAAAAAGGATGGGTATGTTAATACATTGCAGACCTATGATATCTGAACATTATTTGTTGGCCATTTTGTAAATGAACAAATAAGAACTTTGCCTTATTTTATTTCAGCTATATTAAGCCTACTCCTTACTTGTGTGACTAGTCATTACTTATACGAGAAGTCTCGTGGAAGATAGGCAGTGTCCAGTGGACTGTTCATGAGAACACAGTTTCTATTCCTAGTTCTGCAGCTGATCTTCTGTTTAACCTTGGACAAAGCATTTAATTGCTCTGTTCCTCCATTTTCCCTGTCTGTAAAATGGGGCTAATGATACTATCCTTTGTACAGCACTTTGAGATATACAGATAAAAATCACTACGTAAGAGTAATATTACTACATAAGAAAGGGCTACTCGCACTAATAAGAATTTGTTGAATTGGCCCATATCACAATGCAAATCACGTTAAGAACTCAGGATCAGGCCCCTTCTTCTACTAGATCATCACACACTAATGTGAAAGATAGATTTTAAAGTAACATGTCTTTATTAATAATTTTTAAATTTACTTTTCAGACAGCTAGAAAAAGGAGATTTTGCTGAACAACGCACACAGCTCTTGATAAAGATATAAATGTCAGCGTATCTTTCATTTTACTATATCCAAGGCTTCCTTCCATTATTTTTCAGATTGTGGAGCAGAGAGAATTGCTATCATGTCACTATAATTTTAAGTGCTACTGTATGTCATTGGGCCTCTACTATTTATGATGACCAGCAAAATGTTTGTTGATCAGATGTTGTTTCTCATACTGGGAAGAATAATGGGAAATCAATACTAATTAGAATTTTAAAATATTTCCAATGACTGCAATATAGGGTCCTATAATGTGACTCTCCTGCAAAACACAATACATAGAATTTACTTAAATTATATTTAGTGTGAACCATTTTTGCATGGAGAAGTTTCTTAAAGTGGCAATGATTTACTCACATGAGAGAAAATTCATATTGCAAGCACAAGGTCCATGCATCACTTAAGCCCTCAAGCTAAATGGGGCTTTTGTGTTTTTAACTGAAGTAAGGGCTTTGTGCTTATTCTCTGTAAAGAGGTGAATTTTACCTGTGAGAAGTCCCATTATCAACTGAAATCAACAGAGTACTCATATGAATCTTATGTTCCTTTCTCTGGGATATAGTCAAAGGAAATCAGTGGAAAGACATCAGTATAAAACCAAAATACCATGACTGAAGAATTAGACCGCCTCTCGGAATGGAAGAGGCACAATTACTTTTCCTTCATTCTCTGTTTAAGGGTATGATTTGCACATCAAAAAGGAAGTCAGAATATATAAACAGAAATGCTTTCCAGTTTGACTGCCTTCAAGAGCACATCCTAATCAGAATATAATATTAAAGAAAATGAATAAGTTAAAAATTAATGAAGTATATTCTCTCTTCTGTCTTACACAGGCATGATATGGTCTGAATGTAAAGAAATTTGGTCTCAAGGGCCCAAAGAATATCTGTTTGAATTATGGAATATGCTTGATTTTGGTATGTTAGCCATTTTTGCAGCATCATTCATTGCAAGGTTTATGGCATTTTGGCATGCTTCCAGAGCCCAGGACATTGTTGACTCAAAGGCAGATTGGACAGACATAGAAACTGCAACATTAGATTACAACATAAAATACTACACTTTGGGTGAGTTGAATTCCTACAATAGACTTAAATACAATTTAAGTTTCTATATCAATAAGATTCTAATTCTTTATATAGTCTCCCAGTCAGCATGGATTAATTTTTCACCCAACTTTATTTTTTATTCTCTTAATTGCATTAGGTGTTATATTTGTTTATACCAGTACCTTAAATACACTTCTGGTAGTACATAGGGGGTTGCTTTACTTCATAATATATTAAAGCAGTATGATGAATAAATATGCTATAAAATACTAAAAATATTTTTTTGAAATACAACCATAGGTTAAAATGCAAGCCGTGAGAAATTATTAAAAACAGCTCGATAAACATCAATGCAATTATAAATTACAGCAAAATATTGTCTTTACAAACAGAACACAGCATCTAAATTGCTCTGGATTTCTAAAGTTGCCAAGCAAAATTCTTCTCTCTAATCTACGCTGTATAACTGTATCAATGGAGCTTTAATTGATACCAATATTATGGAAGTTCTGGTTATGACTTCATAGTTAAGGTTGAATTCCATTTTGCACTAAAACTTCTTGGGTTTTGAATGGAGCAAGCAATGGATTCCCAAGGGAGGAGTTCAGAAATTTGCTGAACAGATATGTAATTACGAGAAATGAACTGCATCTAAAAAGGCCCTGTTCACAGGCAAATATACATAATCTAATTGAGTCCATGCCATGTCTAAGGTCACACAGTGACTCATTCATTGTGTGTGTGTGTGTGTGTGTTACGTAAATTATAGTGCTCTACTGAATTCCTGGGATGGGAATGTCATTTTCTGTGTTATATGTAAGGACATTTTGAAATGAGGTGGCTGTGTTGCATTTTGTTTTCAAAGTATGGTAAAAGAAAAAAACAATACTTGAGGATCTGGGACACTCTTTACTAACCAAAAGAAGATGGTTGCCATGAATAGCCTAAACATACTTTTGCTCAGTGATCAGAAACTCTCATTTTTTATTTCTAGCCAGAATAAAGTGGGATCCAACTGATCCACAAATCATATCTGAAGGCCTGTATGCAATTGCTGTTGTTTTAAGTTTCTCCAGAATAGCCTACATTCTCCCAGCCAATGAAAGCTTTGGACCACTACAGATATCACTTGGCAGAACTGTGAAAGACATCTTCAAGTTCATGGTAATATTTATCATGGTGTTTGTGGCCTTCATGATAGGAATGTTTAATCTCTATTCCTACTACCGTGGGGCCAAACAGAATGAAGCATTCACAACGTAAGTATTCTGTGTAAATGTTAACAATTGCACATTGTTTTGTAAAAGGAGTGTTACTTGTATTTGTACATTAATGTACAAAGTGTCATAATGTATAGTCCAAGATTCCCATCTTTTATTCAATCGTTTGCTTTTATAATGAGTGGTAACTTTCTCTGTAATGCAGGTACCTTTAAGATATAATTGAAGTTAAGGATAAAGTTTTTAGCCCAATTACACTGGAATAAATCTGCACTGACTTTATTGAACATTAATGGGACTTAAATTGTACATTTTCTAGGGCAAGGGCCATCCCTTACAAAGGGCATCTAGAACAATAATCCAAGCCTGATCCATGATTGTGGATGGTCAGTGCTACCACTATATAAATAATGATCTTGTCTGAATAAAATAGGTGGGGTTAGCATAAGAGGTGACATGTTTACACCAGGTTTAAAGATGACCCCAGGAGAGTTGGACTAGGAATGATGTAAATTAAGGTAGAGGTTTCCTTTGCCATGCCAATGTTAGTTGCTGTTTTTAATATTTATCTTTCTTTACTTCTGCCTATTAGTTACTCTCATTTTGCAAACCCAGTGAATGCTAAAACAGGGCAAGTTATGCTGCTTTGTATTTGATTCCAATTTACATACAGTACTACTTATGTCACCAAGGAATTGGCCCAGAGGCTTCTCCGTGAGTTGCAGCTGATTAAACTAACAGACTGAATTTGGGCCATCACCTCACATGTGCCCCCAGAAGGCTGCATATACCAGCTATGCAACATTTTCACATTTTTCAAAGGAAATTTCAGTAGAGTGCAAAAGAGATCCATTGCCCACAGCTGAGGAGAATATAGCAACATAGTGATTGCCAGATTGGATCAGACTCAAGTTCCATTCAGTCCAGTATTCTGTCTTGAGCAGTGACTAAAACCAACTGCTTAAGAAGGAGCATTTCAGAGTAAGAATTGTTCTGTAGATGGATGTGGGATAATCATACCTTCCTCGCTCCCTCATCATCCAAAGAAGTCTGATTCTGATAGATAATATTAGAGATTGGCTTAAACCCCCAAAAGTGAGGTTTAATATCCTTTCTAAAAGTAATGTTTAGTTATAACAACTCTGTGTTAGACAAGAACAGGTGTCCCTGAGGTGGATAGAGGAGAAGGGCACCTTTCTTACAGATACTCATTCCGTTTTGGACTCCTCCCACAACCTGGGATGCAAGTGAGCAATAAATTAACCACAGGTTCACCTTTTAATTTTAGTTAGTATGTAAATACATTTATCAATTACATCACCCTTTAAGCCCTAATTTAGTAATGTGAACACTTATATAATGCATAATCATAACCATGTGATGAATAGAATTATACCTGCCTCTGTTTACTGTGTAGAGCATTTTAGTTGATGTAGGCAGTGCTCATATCACAAAACTCCTTAAATCAGCAACTTACAATGGAGAAAGGAGATGTACCCCTGAATGTATACTTCAGAGAGAATGAGAACAGATAAGTGGATAAGGAAGATAGCATTGTTAACACATAGAGCATTTATTAGAAGTTACATCTATCCTAAGCAAGTAGGAAAGGAGGAATCAGAGTAAGTCTATAAATCAGTAGAAGTGATGTCTGCCTATGCTGTACCCCCATCACCATGATAGCAAGTGCTCAGACTCCTTATTTAACACTCCCCCCACCCTCGCAACACTCTGGATATCTTGATCTCCATATAAAATATCAATCCCATTTTTAATCTTAAATTCTTGACCAAAAATCTTCCTGGGTCAGTGAGTTTGTGTGAAAATTATTTCCTTGGTTTTTAATTTCATTAATAGTTCCCTGGTTCTTGATTTAGAAGATGGGGAGAGCAGAAGTTCCCATTCTACCTTCTCTGCACCATTCATTATTATTATATACTTTTCTCTGATCAGTTTATATTAATCTCCTTTCTAAGGGTATGTCTACACTACCACCCTAGTTCGAACTAGGGTGGTTAATGTAGGCAACCGAAGTTGCAAATGAAGCCCGGGATTTAAATATCCCGGGCTTCATTTGCATCTTACCGGGTGCCGCCATTTTTAAAACCCCGGTAGTTCGGACTCCGTGCCCGCGGCTACACATGGCACGGAATAGGTAGTTCGGATTAGGCTCTCTAATCCGAACTACCGGTACACCTTGTTCCACGAGGAGTAACGGTAGTTCGGGTTAGAGAGCCTAATCCGAACTACCTACTCCGTGCCGCGGGTAGCCGCGGGCACGGAGTCCGAACTACCGGGGCTTTAAAAATGGCGGCACCCGGTAAGATGCAAATGAAGCCCGGGATATTTAAATCCCGGGCTTCATTTGCAACTTCGGTTGCCTACATTAACCACCCTAGTTCGAACTAGGGTGGTAGTGTAGACATACCCTAAGGTAGATCCTTTGCATGATCATCTCTCCTCCTGTGCACTTCAACTTCTAGTTCTTTGCTTTCCTCCTCTTTCATGCCTCCAGGGTATATTCAGACCTTGATTTTACAAGTGTAATTAACTAAATACAGTGATTTTATCTTTTATGCCATAAAATTTAAACTGTTATTATGGAGTGGTCTTAAATGGCAGTGCTTTTTACATCGAGGATATGTGTACATTTGTGCGATCTTGAGCCAAAGGAGCCGCTTTTGCACAAAAACATGCCGCCTGTCCACACTGGCGGAGAGTTCTTGTGCAAGAACACTGACGTTCTAATGTGTGAAATCAGTGCTTCTTGTGCAAGAACTATGATGCTCCCGCTCAGGAATAAGCCCTCCTGTGCAACTGTTCTTGCGCAAGATGCCAGTGTAGACAGGCAACATGAATTTCTTGTGCAAGAAAGCCCGATGGCTAAAATGGCCATTGGAGCTTTCTTGCGCAAGAGAGCGTCTACACTGGCATGGATGCTCTTGCACAAAAGCACATCTCTTGCGCAAATGCACGTACCAATGTATATGCTCTCTTGCGCAAATACTTTAACGCAAGAACTTGTGCGTTAAAGAGTATTTGCGCAAGATCATGCCAATGTAGACGTAGCCTAAGTGTATGAGTAGTATCAGTAAGATCAGACTTCTGCCATTTCATTGAGGAGAAGTTTATATGGGTATGTCTACACAGCAAAGTTATTTCAAGATAACTTTACTAGCATCTACACAAGCCAACCGCTATTTCGAAATTAAATCAAAATAGCAGAGGGCTTATTTCGAACTTGGTAAACCTCATTCCACTAGGAATAGCGCCTATTTCTAAATTGCTATTTTGAAATAAGTGCTGTGTAGACGCGGAATAGGGACTATTTCGAAATAGGGGGGCCTCCAGCCCTTCCCAGGGTTTCCTGCTGGCCACTCTGGCCCCAACCAAGACAACTCTCTTCCCCCCATCTGCAGAGCCCATAAAGGGGTAGGGTCTGGCCACAGAGCCTGTGCCAGCCCCAGGCCTGCCAACCCAGAGCTAGTATTTGTTGCCCCTGACCCAGTGGCCCCAACATGAGCCAGCAAGCCACTGCCAGCCAGCCCTCCACTGCTCCCCAGGACCAGACTACCAGCTCCCAGGAGCCGAGGTTTGGGGGGATGCCTCCAACGTCCATGGTCTTTGCACTAGATGGAGGAATGCACCTGTTTACAGCTGTATAGCTGCCAGCCTGGCCACCAAAGGCCACATCCAAACCCAGGAGCAGGTTCGGATGAAAATCAAGAAGCTGCGTCAAGCGTATGCCAGGGCCACAGGAGGCAGCTTCCAAACAGGGGCAGACCCAGACATCTGCCCCTATTTTGATGCCCTTGACTACATCCTAGGAGTGGGACAGTCTGTACCCCCCAGGTGGTCATCGACCCTGGGGCAGAGAGCCCTGATCAGGGCACAGAGGAGGAGGAGGGCCAGGAGCCACAGGAGCCTGGAGGGAGCATGCCACGCAGCCAGGACCCCCAAGCCATCCCGGTGAGCTTGTTGCTGGTGCCGTCCGAGGCCGGGGAGGCAACAACATGTGAGTGCCATCATTGTTCCCTTATGTGGGGGTGGGAGGAGAGGGAGACCAGGGACTGTGCGCATGGGATTTGCTGACTACGGATCACGAAGCAACCTGTTCATGTGCCGTGCCACCCCTGGGCACGTGGCTCCAGCTGGCTGCCACACAGGGGCCTTGGCCTGTTATCCACACATGTGTATGTATGAAGGCACATGACGTGCTTCTGACCCGGGGGTGGGACATAGCAGGACACCCTCCCTCCACAAGCCTCTTCTACACAGAGGCAGGGGACATCTCCCCCACCTCACACACAGACCCACACCACATACAGCACGGGCATGGATGCACTCTCGGGCCAGCTCCCACTCCCAGGGATAGCAGGACATCCCAAACTTAGCCTCTGTGCTAGCACATCAGCTCTGATGGTGCGGAGACTTGTTGTCTTTGCTTTGCAGAGGGGGACTGAGCTTCACTTACTGTGTCCCCAGGGATAACTGACCATTTCTCTTCTTTGTCCACAGCCACACCAGCTGCGAGTGCAGGGTGCACCACCCTGCCCGGGACATCCTTCTGCACCCGAGAACTCTGCAGGCTGACCCATGCCCAAGAGTACTCCCAGCGGCAGCACCTGGGGATACTGCGAGGCCTGGACCGCACCCTCGACCACTGGGTGCACGAAGACCTGCAGCTCCGTTGGAAGAGCTGGCGGGAGCTCTTTGCTCATGGCTGTGCCATCTGTGACCACCTGCAGACCCTACTGCAGAGATTGCTGCCTCCTGCCCCTCCAGCCTCTGCTGCCTCCCCAGCTACAGTTCCTCCTCCCACTCCTGTTCCCCTCCCGCTTCTTCCACCCCATCCTTCCCACCCTCTGTGCCCTCCACCCTTCCCCCTCTCCAGGGACACCGAGGCCCCTGCTCCTGCAGTGCTGGGAGATAGGTGGGCCGGCAAGACCTTGAGCCCTGAGCTTCTCCTCCCCTTGCCTTCCCCTTCCAGCTCCCTCCTCCCAGGTTTACCCCTCTACTCTCCCACCCTCTCACCTCCCCTCTCCTGCATTCTTTCCCCAGTCTCACCTGAGTTTCATTCTCCCCTCCCACACCAGTTTTGTTCAATAAAGAGAGTTTCTTTTCTTGAACACGTGTCTTTATTGTGCATCAGGAAGGGGCTTCATGAGCCAGGTTTGTAGGGGCTAGGCCGCATCCCCCACCAGGCACACAGGCATGTCCACGTCCCCGACCCCAATGTGGCGGTCGGGGAAGAAAGTCCCGGCATGCAGCCTTTGGCACATGGAGGAGTTGCAGTACACACGCGTGTCGTGCGCTCTGCCGGACCAGCCCACATTAATGTCCACGAAGTGGCCCTGTTGGTCAGACACAGCCTGCAGGATGACCAAGAAGTATCCCTTATGGTTGATGTAGAGGGAGGCCTGGTGTTCCGGGGCACAGATGGGGATGTGTCCCCCATCGATTGCCCACCTCCCTGGGGAAGGCCATGGCACCAAACCCCTTGATGACTGCATCCACATCGGCAAGGCGGATGACTCTGCGGAGCAGCACTCTGTTGATAGCCTTGACCACCTGCACAGGGACACACCAAAGTGAGAGTCACTGGGGTGCCAGGGTGGCTGAGAGTGCTCCCTCCCCTCCATTGCCTTGTGCCCCCACTCTCCAGGAACAACCCCCTCTGCAATCCTGGCCACCATGGGCAGTCCTTAGTGCGGGCGAGACAGAACAAACCCTCCCAGGGAGGGGACTTTCACTCCCCCCACTCCTTTTCCCTCGGGCAGCCCATTCCCTCCTTGCACACCCCCTCCAGGCACAATGGCCGGAGACTGCCATACTTGCATAGGCACCACTCTGACGTTGGATCTCCCCACACCAAACTGGTTTGCCAGAGATCAGTAGCTATCTGGTGTGGAGAGCTTCCCAAAGGCAATGGCCACATGCTTCTGGAGGGGAATGGTGGGCCCCATGTGCATGTCCCATTGCTATAGGGCAGGGACGAGCCACTCACAGAGCTCCAGGAAGGTGTCCTTCTTCATCCTGAAGTTCTGGGTCCACTGTAGGTCTTCCCAGCGCTCCAGGACAATGTGGTTCCACCTGTCAATTCTAGTGCTCAGATGCCAGAAGCAGCAGGGCACACTGGCATCCAGGAGCTGCAGCTGCTCCCCCACATATCCCAGGAGAGTTTGGATGATGGCCTGGGGGTTGGGCTGCAGCAGATGCTGGGAGGCAGCCTGCAGAAAGTGCAACCAGGCTTGCAGAAACATGTCCACAAGAAGCACAAGAGTGCCCAGGGGCAGCTCCGGCTCCATGCTACAGTGCTGTGGTGTCCTGAGTGAGGGCAATCAGAGCACGCAGAGAAAAAAAAATGCTTTGCTGTCCCTCAGCGAGGTAGGCAAGCAAGCAGTGAAACCTGAGAACCGGCTGTTCATGGGGGTCCCTTTAAGCACAAGCCTCAGATAGCCTCAGGCAGCAGCCACACAAGGTAACTCCTGACCTGGTGCCCTGCCGGAACCAGTTCTGGCCGATCTTAAATGCGATTCAACGTCCAATCAGTGTGGACACAGTATTTCAAAATAGCAAAACACTATTTTGAAATGCATTTTGTGTGTAGATGCGTTATTTTGAAATAAGCTATTTCAAAATAACTATTTTGAAATTAGATATTTTGAAATAATGCTGTAGTGTAGACATACCCTTTAATAGGTAAATAGTAGTAACTTGTTAATTAAATCAGCTTTCATAAATATTTTTAGAGTATAATATTTACATGTTCTGTTTTTTCCTTTTAGAGTTGAAGAAAGTTTTAAGACATTGTTCTGGGCTATATTTGGACTTTCAGAAGTGAAATCAGTTGTCATCAATTATAAACACAAATTTATTGAGAATATTGGTTACGTCCTTTATGGAGTCTACAATGTTACTATGGTCATTGTTTTATTGAACATGCTCATTGCAATGATCAACAGCTCCTTCCAGGAGATTGAGGTAAAACTTTATTTTATGATTATATGTGACTGGTTATATCTCCTTGTGGTTTAGTGTACAAAGAAACACACATTATGACAAGTTGTTTCTTGTTTCTTCATATAGATATCTTTTATTACAGAAAAACAACCTGGTGCTATTTTTGCTTAAATAAGCACCATAAATTCCTTCCAAATTGTTGGTAGTGAAATTGAAAATAGTTCCAATGCCTGGAGCTCATGGGGCTGCTGGAGCTTTCAGGGCTGCCGCAGCGAGGTGGCCAAGGACAGTGATGCCATGTAGCTGGAGAGAGGAGCCCAGCAGGGAGGCTGGTATGGCCCCTCCATCCAGATCTTCCCTGGTCTGAAAAACTTCCTTGTTCAGCCATACCAGGGAGTCCAACCTGTACTATAGAACAGTGCCACAGAAGGATATGTTAGCTGATCTTGCAAGTCTCTTCTCTCTCTAATTTCAAATTATTATTCACGTGGTTTCTCTATTCTTTCTGTTAGAACAGAATCCTCATTCATATGCATCCAACTCATAGGCAAATCTAGTACATAGTTTCAAATTGTAAACTGTGGAAAGGTAAAATGGAAGGTTCGAGAATGTGGCCAGCCCCAGAGAGGTGCAGAAACAGGCAGCCTTGTATTGAATATTTTTTAACTTTTATTAAAATGCTTTTAACTATAACTTTTTATTTATCAACTTTTTACATGCGTGGGCGCCAGATAACTATTAACAGTAACAACAGACAAACTGCAATACAATAGAGGAAAATGCCCTGGGGTTTCTCTAAGTCTAAGTAATTATCAATAACAGCCCAGGGATTTTTATCAGTTATATTTACATTAATTTTATTCATAAGGTCTAACATCTATTTAACTCTTAACTGTACTATTTAACAATTTCTAACTAACTTACTCTTAACACTATTATTTATCAAACCTTTAACTAACTTTACACAGCAATACTCACATTTATCAGACATACAAGAGACAACAGCATATTCGTTATTTGTCACGCTCTGCAAAAGATTCGGTAGATTCGGTGAGCGTGAGGGGATCCTCGGGTGATCAGCCCTCAGAACCTGGCTCGTGTTCTGCCTTCCAAATGTTCGGGAACCCTCAACTGCATGCAGAAGGGGTAGCTGTTTTATAGAGAGAGCAAGAGCTTTCCCGCGCCTAGTTGTGATAGGCTTGACAGATTTAGTCTGCCTGGTGACAGGCTGAGGGGGAATGGGAGGGGGTGAGATGGCCCTTGAGTGGCACGAACCTGCCTGGTGTCTTACTCCTGGTTTTTACTGATTTTAAGTCACATAGTGCAGGGTTTTTGGTTTGAGGGGAAAGTAGTCTTGGGCTAGGAAGGCTATGCGCACGAGGCCTGGCCAGAAAGGAGCCTGTTTTCACATAAACAACTCAGCTTTTTTTCCCTATTTCACAGAACTTAAACAATTTTAAATGTAATAAACATGTACAAATTCACACAAACTTTTGAGTGCTGTGGGGAAAAAAGGGCCAGATCACATTGTCAATTTTTAAATACAACTTCTTATAAGAAAGTGATTTTTACTCTTTCTTTGACACAATCATTATTTAATTAAAGTGGAACAACTTCATTTGGAGAGGCTGAGACAGACCAGCATCAAAGCATCCTATAGTCCAGTAATTAGAGCACGCCGCTGAGAATTGGGGAACCCCTGTCCAAATCTTTTTGCCCCATCAGTCACAGAGGAGAATTGAACTAGGGTGTTTCATATCCTGAGTGAGTACCTTCATGTGGGACTAAAGCTTACAAAAGAGGCAGTCCTTTTCCACATGGGCAGTGGGTGAAGGTAGGGCTGAGGGAGACAAGCCTCCAACCCCACCCCTAGCTCCGCCACTTCTGACCCCACCTTCACTGCCCCAAAGCATGGGAAAGGAGGAAGGCACGTGGCTCCAGCCTCCACAGCCACAGAGCGTGTAGAAGGTGGGCAGTGTGCAGCTCCAGCCTCCACAGCCCTGGAGCATGGGAAAGACAGGTGGCGCACAGCTCCAGCCTCTCCACCTCCAATAGGGGTCCTGAGAGAAGAGTATGGGTGAGGCCAGGCTGGTGGTTTGGGAAGGCAATGCCTTCCCCCGCTCAGCATACCCTATGCCCAATGCTTTTCCATCATGGCCATCTGATGCAGAGTTAGGTGTGCTCCAATCAAGTCCTGCAGGCAAGATAGACTTTCATTGCCTATCTTCCCCCAGTTTGTGTATCACTGAGGCTTAGGCATGAGAGAGGCATTCAGGTGCCTAGAATGAGGCCATTTGATCAATGACAAATATGAAATAATTGGTTTGTGAATATATATATACAGGCAGTCCCCGGGTTACATGGATCCGACTTACATCGGATCCCTACTTACAAACGGGGTGAGACAACCCCGCACTAGCTGCTTCCCCCCAGCAGACCAGGGAGATGTGAAGCTAGCGCCACCCCCAGCAGACCAAGGAGACGCGGAGCGGCTCTTCTCAGCAGACACCTCAGCTTGAGAATAAAGGACTGAGGGAAGTGAGGTGTGGGAGAATAAAACTGAGCTCTGGAGAAATGTTTGGCTAGAGTTTCCCCTACAATATGTACCAGTTCTGACTTACATACAAATTCAACTTAAGAACAAACCTACAGTCCCTATCTTGTACGTAACCCGGGGACTGCCTGTATACATAAAAACTAATGCGGGCTCATGTGCATTGAACATAAATTAGAATTACTGAAAACATTTTCTTCTGTAAATACAGTTAAAATAAATTGAAAATTCAGTTGCATTCTGGGAAATAGATCTCTTTCCTTATGCATCATATTGAAAGCACTTGGGAGGACTTCATGCCCATCTACAGTCTACAGCAACTAGAACAATTAAACTTTTAGACACATTACTTGTTCATTTTTTACAATGAACAAGTAAGACAAACTAAACGATAAGAGTAAAATGAAAGGAAAGGATAAAAAATGGAGCAATTTAATTTTATAAAAAATTACAGGTAATGAGACCCTTAGTTATTTTAAGTCTTAAAAATTGCCATTCATATAAAATGATGAAGATAGGGGCAGATACATGTGCCTTAAAATAACTTAGCCCAGTGACAAAATCTTTGTGTGTGACCATTGGCAATGTTCATCTGCTGCATTCGAGAGGAGAAAAACATCAAATCCTTGAGTCCTTGCACAAGCAAAACTCACTTTGTATTCAATGGTATTCCAGCTAGTGGGAGTAGTCTGTGGAACTGTAGTATTTAACTTACATTGTATTATTGTGTAACAGGGTTTTTTTAACCGTTACTCCTTTACATAATAGTGTATGTCATGTAGAAATCAACAAAAAGTGTATCTCACAACTGACTTTCCCATAGAGTTTCTTATACTGGGGACTGAGTTTCTGAAAGGGTCATGCAGAGGTTACTCAGTTAGGGCAACTGCAAAGAATGGAACAGACCATCCCCAGAACAGATGGCTATTTGAATACCTAGAGTCACCAAGTCTTCAATAAAACAGCTTCTATAATTCTTTAATATACAGGCAGTCCCCGACTTACGTGTATCCGACTTATGTCGGATCCCTAGATACGAACGGGGTGAGGCAACTCCCGCACATGCGCAGCAGCATTCCCGGGGCTCGCTCACCTGGGTCCTAGGATCCTCCTCCTCCTCGGGCCAGCTCCGACTGGGGTCCCGCAGAACTGCCGGGCAGAGGAAAAGTGCCTCCCCATGCCCGCTGCTCTCCCCCCACCCCGGCCAGCAACAGGCTGGCTGCCCGCTCCCCCGAGCAACAGGCTGCCGGACAGACAAAAACAACCCCTCTTCTCTATTACTAAAACCCATAATCTAGTAATTTTTAACTTCCTCTCATTTGATCTACACATACAGGTCATATCTAATTCAATATATCTAGTATTAGCCCTTTTCTGCTTAGTCCTACCACTGAACTCCCAATCAGGCGTGTATTTGTGGTCTCAGCTAACACAACATCATACCCCCACAGCACACTGTCCCTTTGCAACCCATACAAAATGCTACTGCTGCTGCTGAATTATTTTCATTACTGTTCAATGTTGACGGTGTCATCCTATCGCCTGCAGCTGAAGCCGCTATACAGGCAGTCCCCGGGTTACATGGATCCGACTTACATCGGATCCCTACTTACAAACGGGGTGAGGCAACCCCGCACTAGCTGCTTCCCCCCAGCAGACCAGGGAGATGCGAAGCTAGCGCCCCCCCACCCCAGCAGACCAGGGAGAGGTGGAGCGGCTTTTCTCAGCAGACACCTCAGCTTGAGACTAAAGGACTGAGGGAAGTGAGGTGTGGGAGAGTAAAACTGAGCTCTGGAGAAATGTTTGGCTAGAGTTTCCCCTACAATATGTACCAGTTCCGACTTACATACAAATTCAACTTAAGAACAAACCTACAGTCCCTATCTTGTACGTAACCCGGGGACTGCCTGTAATAAAATTATTTATTCGTTACCCAGACCCAGCAATACAGTTTGCTTAAAATAATAAAAAACAGGACTATGTAGCACTTTAAAGTCTAACAAGATGGTTTATTAGGTGATGAGCTTTCGTGGGCCAGACCCACTTCCTCAGATCAAATTGTGGAAGAAAATTGGCACGACCATATATACCAAAGGATACAATTTAAAAAAATGAACACATATGAAAAGGACAAATCAAATTTCAGAACAGAAGGGGGATGGGGGGGGGGGGGGGGAGGTAAATGTCTGTGAGAATGATATTAGAGGTGATAATGGGGGAAGCTATCTTTGTAATGGGTAAGGTTATTAGTGTCGTTGTTAAGACCTAGTTGTAAAGTGTCATATTTAAGCATGAATGACAGCTCAGAGGATTCTCTTTCAAGTCTGGTGTTAAAAGGTCTTTGAAGCAGGATGCAGGTAATCAGGTCATTGAGACAATTCCCTTTCTAGTTGAAATGGCAAGAAACTGTTTTTTCTTTGTGATCCTGTCTAATATCTGCTTTGTGTGCATTGATTCTTTGGCGAAG